CGTACCGTACGTACGTAACGTAACCGTACGTAACGTACCGACGTAGTACGACGACAGAGAGAGAGAGAGAGAGAGAGAGAGAGAGAGAGAGAGAGAGAGGCGAAAGATGAAAGGTTTTGAGTGAAACCTACAGCCACCCAAAACCCGAAGTTCAAACCAAAGCCCCAACAAAAGGATAACTTCATATGCAGTACAGCAAAATCAACTTTTTAAAGAGATTGAGTTATATGGGAAGCAAGCAAGAAGACTATCGCAAACTAATTTTATTTATTAATAGATAAATTTATTGCAAATAATTTTATAAGGGATGCTACAAACCATCAAATAAGTCTTTATGCAAGTATTTTTATTGTAACATTGCATTATTAGTTATAATGAGTTCATCAAAAATTCCAAACATACCCAATAAAATGCATTTATCAAGCCAGTGTTGTATAGTTGGATTTTGTTCTTGTGATCCCAGTTGAAGTCACGCGTTCTCCTCTTTAATTCCTTATGCCATGTCATTTAACATGCTGCATGCCCTGGCATAAGGTGTTTACCCATTGGGATACCTTTGTTCTTAGAAACAAATATTGAAGTGATAATTCTACCAATGGGAGTTATTTTATTGTGATAAAAGTAGTTTATTGCTGAAATTAACCCTTCCAATATTGTAATGATAAACGGAGTTTATTTCTTTTTCAGAAATCATATTCGAAATGTTTGATATGTCTTTAGGGATTAACATTAACTCAATAGTTTAAGAGTTGAGTTGTTTTAATTGGAAAAGAAGTCTAGTTCCACTTCATTTTCTAAAGGTTTCCATTACCAATCACAAGATAGCGGGAGAGAGATGGTTTTCATATGGTTGATAAAACTGTCTCCTATTTATAGTTTTTCTAATAAATTCACAACTAGAAGGGTCTTCCAACCAAATCCTATTTCATTACCCTATGGATAGAATTGCGTTATACAATTTTGTTGAACTGGGTGTCCATTCGGCCCTATTAAGAGAGGGCAAGTAATGCTATGCTATTTCTGCTATCCTGGTCCTATAGAGGTAAAAGCAAGGAATATGCTGGTTGAAAGCTAATCCCTAGAGTAATGCTCTGTATACATCCTGATATCTAGATTATTGGACTGTTCACCAATGGGTTTATTCCCTACATGTGTTGGTTTACTGTAGGTCTTGATTTGGCTCGTGCAATGGGGACCAAGTAGGCTGTGCAATGATATTTTCATTTTCTTGTATGGAAGCGTGTATTTCTGATACACTTTGTTGAATCTAGTAATGTTGATATTGTGCTTTTAAGGAGTTACTAAATAGCCTTTCTTGTGTAATAAACTGTGGGAAGGGCAGCCTTCATTTTGTTCATGAGAATTAATATTATCTTAGATTTTCTATTGCCCTATCAAAGAACTGCTAAATACAGTGAGTGCAAATTTGTTACTACTTCTTATTAACGTGGTTGGTTAGAAAGAAACTGAGATTCTGTTAAAACAAATTGTAATTTACTGCAAACTTTCTTCTCACACATGTTAATTGTGAAAATTAGGTGTGTCACAATGTTGTAAATCCCATGCGGTTAACCCATCATTAAGGCGGGCCAAGTGAATAACTGTAAATAGCAACCTATCATTTTACAACTGGAACATGGTTAAGCATGGGTGAATAATGGTTTCTCACTCATATATTTGTAACTTTTCTTGGGGCGATGGGCGATGGTTGAGCAGGATGCAAACACAAACTAGGTAAAATGTGAAATCTAAGACATTGGTTTTGGAGATGCCACAATTGTTTGGATTGCATTTGCAGCACTGTGGCAAGTATTGCATAATCTTGGTATTGGTCTACAGTCACTTGGTTTAACGCACTATCTAAAGATGCAAATGTCAAATGTGTTATTTAGAAAATGTTATATTCTCTTTTATTATTTTCTTCTTCCATTTGCATTCTTATTGATCAATAAACAACTTCCCATTTGTTCTTCCAACAATTCAGGTATGTCTATGTTTTTTACTTTCCTTCCTCAAGATGAGGTGTTGCTTATATTTCTTTTGGCAAGTGGTGTATCTTATCCCCTACTACTTCCTGACAAAATTTATAGTTCTAGGATTGTTAATTATTACATTTTTCCAGTCACATTATGTGGTAATGAGGTTGCTACTGATGCAGCTGGGATAGTAGGACAAGCTTTATAAGTTTTAATACTCTCTTCTTGCATCCAGATACTTGAATTTGTGCAATTCAAGCTGAGATTGTCTGTCATTGTGAAAGAGTTAACTGATTTGATTCTACCATGTTTTATGCAGTGGTATGTGACATTCATAATTGTATGTTCCCTAGGAGCAATTGCTGGGGCTGTTATTGTGGCCAAGAAATATTACAAGAAGCCGGAATCGATGGCCCCCAAGTTCCAACAGCTCGCACAAGTGCAAATACAAGGATTCTTGGATGATGATGATGAGGAGGAGGAGAATGATTGCCTTAACCCCCAAGTTCCTCGCAATGATAAATCACACCTTTAGCTTAGGATCGTCATTCCAAGTCCTAGTTTCCTCCTCCACAGCATTGTTGATGACCTGGCATAGCTGTTGTAACCTTGATAAATTTCTTCTGTTAATTGAATGAGAAATGCTTTAAGAGCGATTTGATCAGTGCCAATCTGTTTTTATGGGTCTCCCCACATCATTTGTTGTCACTATTGAATGAATGATTTTACAAGAACGCACAACATTCATACACCCACATGTACCAATATCTCAAGGTATCAAGAATATGTGGCAGTTTGTTTTTGCTCAAAAGATACTATGCTCCTGAGGGAGCATGTCCTCAGTTCACTCCCTTGCATAGAACCCTATCCAGTCAGTTCACTCTCTTGCATAAAACCCCAAATCGTTGGGTTTGAAATCGATTTCTTTTTTATTTAATTTTTAAACTTTATAATTTAAATAAAAATGATTGTTTCGAAATGATTTAAATCAAAAGTGAATTTGTTTTTGAAATTTGAATCAAGATAGATTTATTTAAATAAAAAAGCACACTTCAAAAGTTCAAAAAGAAAAACCCATTTGAGATACAAACCATTTAACGCAAAAATATGTGAATCTGACTTTTCTCTACCAGGTTTGATTTCACGATCTTAAAAGCCAGGATATCAAAACATTCCTTTTGATTTTTGTTATAAATTGCCTAAAGCTCAAAGCCTCAAACTCTAATTTCTAGCATAGATCGTTCAAAGTTATGATTTGTTTATTTCTGCAAAAATAAATCTATTGAAGATCTATAGAAAAGAAGACTTCGAGACAAATTTAAATCAATTTGGTGAAATAATAAGAGAGTGATTACGAAAATAAGATTTCAGGTGGAGGAGAATCAAGGTGCTCTAAAATGGCTAGTTTTTGATAGAACAATGTTGCCCTAAAATGGTTTTTATTTGAATCTTTTGTTTGTAGCAATGTTTTAAACCCACCGATTGAGATCAGGCATAGTTGATCCAGACCGGAAATCAACAACGATTGAACCGATTCAAGGTACTGATAGCGGGACAGTCTTCCCCCAAAACCGATCGTTTCCCTTTCCTTCTTATTTTTTATTTATTTATTTATTTATTTTACGTTTTTAGCGAGTTCAAATAAGCAAGACTAGAAGCACTTTTCTTAAAAAGATAAAAAAGTGATGTGAGATGAATAGTCCCATGAAAGTTTTGTAGAACTCGGGCAATTCTAATTGGAATTGGCAAAAAATTAAAATAACCAGCGACGCTAGTGCGGCACTTTCGCTCCTTACATTGGGAGTGATAAGAGTCTTAGAATATGCAAATAACTCTAGGTATATTTATGTCAAAGAATAAAGAATACCATAGGGAGTTATAGAATCTTAGAATATACAGATAACTCAATGTATATTGATGTCAAAGAATAAAGAATAAATAAGTCCTAGCATAAATATGCAACTACTAACATTTATGGGTTGATGGAATTACTTTAATTTATACATAACCGTATACCTATACCATA